GCTAGCACTTTCAGGTTTGAGAAGCACTGGTCTAGTCCCGTGGTTCTTGCGTCACCTGCAAAAACTCTGGCTAAGTGGTCATCTGGGCTCTGCCTAATGAGTTCAGGGACAGATAGCCAAGGTCAGCTGGCAGATGAGAATGATCCTTTTGTTTTTCTTTTTAGATTAGGCTGGTTAGGCAGGTAAGTGGACATAAGCGAATAGATTGCCGTGCTTTAATTTGCAAGGGCAGGTCAGCTGTTAGAGTTACCCTTTAAAACAGCTCATCTTTATAGCAAATGGACTGCTTACAAGGTTTGGAGGAAGCAAGAAGAGGACTTGCGTATGTGATTCTGTGTCCATTTAGCTACATTCCATAGTATATCTAGGATTAGGAAAAATGCACCATTATTGTGTGTAAGTAGTATTAATGCAAATTAGTTGTCATCAATTAATCTGTGTACTTACTGTTTAAATGGCCACATACTCTTTCTCATAGGATGAACAAATTGACGCTAGCAGTGGTTCCCAAACTTCAGCATGCATCAGAACCACCCGAGAGCTTGTTAAAACAGATTACTAAGCCCCACTGCCAAGGTTTTTGATTCAGTTTATGGGGTGGGAACTGATAATTTGCATTTCTACCCATTCCCAGGTGATGCTAATGCCGGGTTATGGAAATAGTAGCATCAGATGAGTTATTAGCACTTCAGGAAATATCTAGACCCTTATTATCTGATATCATACTCTGACAATATAGAATATAGGGCCAAATTTCAGCAACCCACAGTCATGGGAAACAGAGTCCCTGGGACCAACTTAAATACAGGAATAATCTAACAACATTCTCTGAGACCATTGATTTCAAGCTGCTTCTTCTCAAACCTACATCTGAGTTGCTAACAAGCAATGTTACTTTGCCTCATTTTCCATTCTTCTCTTAGTTTCTACCCACCTCTGAGGGCAGATAGATACTTCTAGTTGACCACGGTCTGTTTAATGTTGAAATCACAAGTGTCTACTGGTTGGCAGGTGGCTCCACTGGCTAACGTGGCTGAGACATTCTGAGCACGGGGGCTGGCTCTGAGCTGTGCGAAGACCTTCCATGTCATTCTAGTCCTGAGTGTGGTCATGGGCTCTACGCCACATTTATGCCCTCATCACCTATAGGCTCACATCCACGATTTCACTAGAGAGTTATACTGTGGGAAGACCCAAGATCCTTTAACTCTTGGAATCACCTCTGTCCTCAGTGAACTGATAAATCTTCAGCACAGCACAGAACCCAAGCATCTCTGGTTGGGGTTCCTTCTGGCAAATTTCTGCACCTGTGGCAGCTGCTCAGCTTGGAACTGTTTGCTCTGACCTTCCTGGTGCCGCTTGTCTGAAGATTGCCTGCAGACTGCTGTGACACGGGATTCCTGCCAGTGAAAAACCATGACTGCACTTTCTATCATAATTGAGTGGACACAGGATTTACTCCATTGCAGCACCTTGCCTGTCTGACTTCATTTCATATTATTAAAAACAGAGACTTGAGGTTTTTTTTTATAAAAAATTTATTGAGATGATGCAATTATAGGCTTTTCTTTAAAAATTATTTGCAACTCACTGGCCCTGAGAAAAGGCATTTTTTTTTGTTTTTTCTTTTTTGTTACATTCATTTGATTCAGTCCCTTATAAACCCCACACCTCATAAACAACAAGAGATTAGAAATTAAACCGAAAAAAAAAAAAAAAAAAAGAAATTCTAGATTCGTCCTGGTTTGCAAGTAGGTGGTTGCAGTCACAAAGAGAAATCTTCAAGAACGTTCACTTGGCATGTGTGAAAGATTCAGGGAGTTGGTAGTTGTTTAGTGTTGATGCAGATGGGGCCAAAAGAGTGTCAGGTTAGTCTCTTGTGGTTTTTAGACAGGCAGGGATTATTGCCTCCTCCCTCCCATGGGCTTCCTTGTGTCACCCCCTTCATTCCAAGTTTCTGCTGAGAAGAGGAGCAGGCTGAATGGGTGAGAGCTAACTAGCACCGAAGGCTTGGGCAAAGAAAACTGCCCTTGTTCTTTGTGTATTTTCCCAAATCTTTTATCTTGAGCTTCCTGGCTGGGAATGGGTCAAATGGGGGTATGGCCGGACTGAATCCCAGTCCTAATTCTGTCCCTGGCGTGCTGTCTGCTCCTAGGGCAACCTCTCTGATACGCAGGTTTCCCTTCAGCAAAAGGGAGTTAATGTTTCAAAAATGTATTCCGAGTTGGGTCCCAGGCAGTGAAAGATGGGGATGGTGGTTACTTAGTCATTTAGGTAAATCCTGTCATATCTGTTTAAGTTTCAGCTAAATCTACATTCTGATTTGGACAAGCTCTCAGTGTAAAAAGACAATGGGTCAGAGGGTTCCAAACATACTGATGAAAGGAGAAACTCCGTCAGTCTGTTATTCCTCTTTTCCTGTGGGGACCCTCTAAAAGGATCTGGAACTTTGGAGCTGCTGCCTTAGGCAAGACCACCTTGCCTTGGGACAAAAAGATCTTAGAGATAACATTGCTTCCCTACAGCCAGTCCAATGACCGCTGCTTTCTTCTGGTGGAGAGGAGGCCACCTGGCAGGGAGAAGAGGCTAGAGAATTTCAAGATACAGGTGAGCCCGTCTGCCCAGGACACAGCTGGAGGAAGCTCTCCTCCTGAGCGCTCTTCTGCCTTTTCCTCCCCTGATTTCTGATCTTGCAAGCCAAGAATTCCCATGACAGCAGCAGGGGAAGGCCAACTATTGGTGTCACAGATGTGCTTTTAATTTGGTTCCAGGTGACACTTTCATCACCCCCAGTACTTAGTGTTGCAGTGAGGAATGTCATGCTAGATTCTGCAGTAGGACAGAAACTCACAGAGGGCAGGGATTTGCACCTGATTCATCTTTGAATCCCTCAGTGTCGGGCACGTGCTTCATCACGCTTTGCTAAATTGAATCTGAAATCTTTGGGGTATGTGGTGTCTAAATACTGTATCCCTGGTGTCAGCACTGCCCAGGTATTCTCTCAAAGAACAAACGAGGAGGACTTTTGCCATTAAGGGAATCAACAGAAAATCACTATTGGTAATATCTGATGGGAAATAAAGACTCCATTGGAATTAGCACATTCTATTTTTTCTTCAAGTGGCTGAAGGTGTGATCCTTAGCCTTACATATTCTTATAGGATACTACTTTAAATACAGAAATACTTGGGGCAAAAGGGAATTTCCCTCCACAATTCAACTGTAAGATTCTTTGAACAGTAAGAACCTGAGTCCTTACACCTGGGTCAGTGAACAGAAGGAGATGTCCTAATCTCAGAAAAGAGCAACATCATGCCCTGGTCTCTGATTTCAGGCTCACACAAAGGGCTTCAGTGAAAATCCACCCTTTCTCTCCAGCTCTTGAACTCAATGGCTTTCACAACACACCAGGAATTTGGCTTAATCTCTCCAAGTGAGATACAACATCAGTCACCTTAGAGGCTGGAAAATGCATCAGTGTGTGCTGCTGGACACTCTTGAAGACATCTGTGGCGTGCTGGGATCCAGCTGCATTTCATTACCATTCCAGCAGGTTGAGACCAAACCCTTCATGAGGGACCCTCTAGGGACCTCACTGCAAGCCCAACATTACAGAAGGTAGAGTAGGGGGAGGGTGTGACAGTGGGGAGAGGCTGGCCACCTCCACGTGTCTATCTGCAGTCTGATAAGAGGCAGGAACAGGGCAAGACTGAACAGCCTTGATCAGCTCCTCAATTCCAGTGTCCTTGAATCAGAAGTCAACCTACTTGTCCCTCCCTCCTCCCAGGCTGGTGTCCTTGTCAGTTCTCCCGTCTGTGTGCCCCCAACCCCTATGTACCTGACTCCACTCAGAAATGGCTTGAGGAGATGCCCGGGGGTCTGGCAGCTTCACTTGGGAACTGCTGCTGACAGCGCACACAAGTACCCTGGGAGCCGGGAGATGCTCACCCAACCGAGTCCAGGAAACAGAGAAATGAGGAGCGCGTGCTTTGTAAGGCAGCTCTCATCTTTTAGATTAAAAAAGACTGTACTCCTAATAGTGGATTCTGAAGCTATATTGAAAGAGTCCATTCAGATGGCCAGAAAAAAAATCTAAAACAGCTCTCTAAAAATATTTGCTATCATCAAAAGTACTAAGGGGTGGCACTTTCCTCATTTTAAGACACTATTGACCTTATTTTGAGGTGAAAAAGAGCCACGAATGGGTCCATTCTGAAACACAGCTAGGGAAGAAGGAAAGAAGGAAAGTTATGTATCTGAGGAATTTCCTGTCTGCCCAGGCTGGGCTGACACCGGTAGGAACCGAGACTGCACACCAGGATCCTCCTCTCTCAAATGCCCTGTGTCCTGTGGGGACCAGGAAACTTTAAAAAAGGCTAGAAACTGAAAAAAAAAAATTAGGTGAGGGCATGAAACTGACCACAAGGTGGCCTCTGGGATGGAGTAGAAGACCCTTCCTTCCTCACTAGCCTTAAAAACCAATAAATCCCCATGATAGAAGATTTTTCACCCAGTTTCTGGACCATCGAGCCTGTGTGGTCTTTTTGTATTTCCACTTTGGAGTACTTGCAAGCTAATCCCAAGGTGCTGGGGTCTTCCAAGCTATTTGGAAGCCCCCATCATTATCTTCCATCCTTATCTTCCGCTGTGTGGCACCACCAAGCCTGTGGTTCTCACAGCCATGTCAGGGGCTGGACCAGCACTCATCTTTCTGGAGGACAGCAGCATCTGTGACGTTTCTGGCCTTCCTCCAGTGGGTAGCCAGATGCCGGGATGTGGGTTTGATTTTGTGGTGCTGGCCACAAAGCACCCAGGCCACTGATTCTGTTTGCCAACAACTCCCAAGACTCTCCAAGAGGCTGACCTCTGCTGAAGGGCATCTGAAGCTCCACAGCAGGCACGGAGTGGGGCAGGGGGAGGCAGGGAAGGAGCGAGAGCAAGAGAGAGAAAAAGAGAGCTCTCTTTTTCACTTTATCCTTTTTAAAAGCATCTTTTTATCCCCCCCAGCCAAGACCCAACAGCAACAGGAACAAACCCGATCCACGCGGCAGGATAAAGAGGAACCTGAACCCTTTTGCAAGTATTCTTTCCTGACCAGCTGGGCTTGCCGCACTTCGTGAGATTTGCAAAAAATATATATATATAATAGATATATATTTCCATAGGAAAACAACCTCGATGTCTTCCCCTGTATGAATGCTGAAAAGTCAAACTGCATGTTCTTAAAAAAACAAAAACAAAAACACCATGAAACTAACAACAGGTGGAAGGGTGAGGGTGAGGAATTACAGATGGAGAGATTCCCAGTGGGTAGGAAACGTGAAACTCGAGTCCCGGGCTCGTGCCCTCGGCCAGAACTCCAGCCCCGCCTTTGCTGGCTGGTTTGTCTAAGGTGCTCTGGGGTCCCTCCTGGTACGCAAGAGAAGCGTCACTCCCATTTCGGGGTCTCTTCCTTCGCTCTCCTCAGCCCGCCTGCTCCATCACGCCTCCAGCAATCCTGGTGGGCAGGGCTTCCCTCGGCTGCCGGCCCGCGGAGGTGGGGGGTTGGTTCCTTCAGCATTCATCTTCCTGGTATATTTGTTCATCCAGCTCCTGGGACTCAAGGTGCTCCAGACGGTCTGTTCGGCCACTCATGATTTCATCTGGGGTTTTCATAAACCTTTGGAAGAAAAAATGGAGGAGTAAAGAGATGACATTTACCTAAAGTTGTCTTCACCTGAAATCTAACCTAGAAAAAGAAAGGCCCATCATCTCACGCAGCTGGAGAGCTACCAAACCCGGCCATTGATGCTAACTTAGCACAAATTAGAAAAAGGTGCTCCTTCCTCCGACTGCCTGAAAAATGGCAAAATAACTATAAAAAAGTCTAGGATGACTGTGTGGTAGAGAGCGCCCCTTGAAGGTGTGTCGTGCATTCCTGCACGACCATACGAGGGAACCCTGGTACAGCTCACTTACCTGCGTTTCTTATTTTTAGAGAGTTAGATTTTACAAAGACCCATGAGAGCTGTACAAGCATTTCCAACCTGGACCGTGAGTCCAGGGAATGGTATTCAAAACTTGAATTTAACTCGAAGGATACAATTAAATGCTGCACGGAAAATTTTGATAAAAGGGCAAGTTAGTAGTGCTTTTGGAAATTAGAAAGGCAAAAAAAAAGAGAATGTTTTTCAGTGTTATCACTGACCCACCCAAAACACTGGCAATTAATCCCCTTTAGTCTATCATCCTTTGCAGCTAGGTGCACACAGCAAGCCTCACCTTGTTCATTGGGTTCACTTGGAAATAACATCAGTGACCTGTTTCGACCACGATTTACATGGTGCAGGAAGGCAGCCTGGATGCAAATGTCCTGCCCTTACTGTGGGAGTGCCCTTTCCACAGCCCCACTCTGCACACCTTCCCCTTCCCATATACTCTGCCCTGCACCAGATGAACTGTCTTAGGACACACATTTTCTCTCATCACTCTATGTTCAAAAGCCTATGATGACCACTTATCAAGTCAAGGATACACTCTTTGGCCTGCCCATCAGTGCCCTCTGTCATCTCTAACCAGGAAACTCTTGTTTGCCACTATTTGCTAGCAAGAACCTCCACTCCAGTTGGGCCAGTCTTTTTTCTTCTATAAATCATGGCTCATGCCCTCCTCCAAACTTTTAGCTTTGCCCTTATTTGGAACCTCTTTACTTCTTTTGCTGAGCCCTACTCATTCTCTGAGCTCTGCCTCATCATCAAACTGCTGCTTAAAGGCACCAGTCCATACTGAAATCTTCCTTCCTTAATGCCCATAAATATTGTAGAGTACCCACAATTTAACACTTCACTAGAGTACACACTGGGTTTTATACCAAGAAGCCTTCATTTTGTGGCAAGTCTGGCTTCCAACACTCATTTCCTCAAAAATGACTAATCTCTCCCCCAATAGCACTATTCTTTCCTTTTATCTTGTTGAAAATCACTATTGGAAGCCTATGAACCTTTCAACTACTCCGACTTTTCTTTTCTGCCCATTATTGCTGAACTTCTCAGGCAGTATGATCTGGAGCATCTGCAGTCCGTCTTCTGCCTTTATCCCCTAGCTAAAACTTCTTCCTCCACATCTGAAGTCACTAATAATCCCTCTAGGCCAAATCCACAGACATGCTATATTTTGCCCTTCAAACGACCCCTTTCTTCTTTTGACTACTTTTTTTATATTAAGCTTCTGATATTCCATACCAGGCTTGGCAAGAAAAGCCTCCATAAGGTATAAAACAGAATTATATAAAATACAACCCTCTGCTTTCTAGGAGCTTATGATCTAGTTGTGAGGAGAAGGACTTCACACATATAGCCATTAAAAATGCTATAAACCAATCACAATGTGGTTTAGGGCCAAGAGAACCCAAGAGATGATGAAAGAAGATATCTGTGTGTGTTTGAGCAGTTGAAGAAGGCCTCATAAAGGGCATGGACCTTTATGGTCCACAGAGATGGACACAGAGGATATACATATTAAAAAAGCAAAAGTTAAAGGGATATATGTTTCTGGCACAGGAAATCATATTAGTGTTGTAGGGCAGCTGGCAGTGTGTATGATGAATTCGGGAGGCAGGAGCGTGGACCAGAGGTAGAAGATTGTTTAATTAATCTAGATGTGAATCATGAAGTCTAGACATCAGCCTTCATTGCAGGGAAGCAATAATAATGCTTTTGCCTTTCTTTCATCTTCCAAATCTCATGAAAGTGCTTGTCATTGGTAGACTCCAACCTGGAACCTGCTGGTAAGAAATCTTGGGAAACGTGTTTCCCAGGCTTCAAGCCCCTGCAACATAGAATGGCGTGGGAATGGTGCTGAAGAGCCAATGGGCAATCCAGCACAATGACTGACTTGGATATAGGAAGAGTCAAAGATAACTTTAGTGTCAAGGTTGGTTGCTTAAAACAATGGTGATGTCACTGATGAGTAACAAGAATGCTGGAGGTGAGAGGTGACTTCTAGTATGTGAAGGTCTATCTTGAACGTTTCATGTCTGAGATACTCATGTGATATCTCAGTGGACACGTCCTGTAAGAAGCTCTTGGAAATTCAGATTTGGAATTTCAGGGAGATTTTACAGCTGGATATAGAGATTTGAGTCTAATCATTGAGTTGATAACTGAAGCTGTGTAACGGGATCAATTCATCCAGGAAAAAGGTGTAGGAGCCAACGAGGAAGTTTAAGGTGAAGGATGAAGAGAAGGCATCAGCAGAGCCAGAGAAAGGAGGGTTCTTTTTTAACTTCATTCCATTCTGTTTTCATTTCTTGAACAGCCTTTTCTGGTTCTTTTGAAGATTTCAATTGTTTTTACTATGCCTAAGTTACCACACCTTCCCAGTGCTAAAGCCCAGATTCTTGGCTCTTTCTACTAAGTTCTTATCCCAGTGAGCTCCTCTGCTCATCCATACTGTCATTTTCTACTTGTATACAGATAATTCCAAATCCACATCTCTAGCCCCATCTGAAACTCTTTTCTGTCCCACCTGCCAAAACCCACAACCTAAGGTCGTGTTTGTTGATCCCACCTTCTCCCAACCTTCACTTGGTCTCACCATTGTCAATTACCACCAGTGTCAGAGGTCTACTTCTACCTCTCCTGATTCGTCCTTTAGATCCCTTCTTCTTCCTCTTCTAATTCTTTCTCGTCTCTTGCATAGTACTTGGAATCACAATCTATGTGGTAGGTTAAATCGTTGGAACTCATTAGCTGTGGGGAATTCTGGAAAGAGGAATGACTAGTGCAGCAGCTTTCAGACTTTTCTGATTATTATGCATTGCAAGAAAACATTTTATATCATGACTCATCTCACACACACACACCCACCCACCCCGGAACCAAATTTTCATGAATCAACAGTCACTCTTAATTCATGTGATATGGTCTGATATTTTTCATCTTTATCCTATCCTATTCAATTCTGTTCTATTACATTAAAAAAAGTTGTGACTGACTCATTATTTCATGATTTACTAATGGGCCATGACTGCAGTTTGACACTGGTTCAGAAACTAGCTTACAGGGTTGGGAACCTGGAGTCCAGCTTTAATTCCTTGCTTTGCCATTGACAACATTACTTGGGTTGCTCCTTTTAACTACACTGGATGTTAGTACGAGATAATACTATTTAATCATTGCCTTATTTTAAAGGTGAGTCAGACTGTGTTTATTTAGTTTTGGCTTTACTACAGGACAGACATAAGTAAAAAAAATTTTTCTTTCTTAAATTCTAACAAACCAGCACCTGGTATCCAATTTGTAGCAATGAGGTCTTTGAGTATCAGACAGGCAGGTAGAGATCTTAACAGTCTCCCTCCTCCCTCTTATTTAAAGAAAACAATATCCTCCCGAAAGAAGGAAAGGAGAAAGAGGAAATGCTACCTGAACAAAAGCCTTTGTCCTGGCTCCTTCCTGATAATGTTTAGTTTGTAGTAGTGGCGCAGGGCTCTGGACATTTTCTCATAGGTCATGTTTGTTCTGTTCTGTTTGTTCAAAGGAGGAAGAGAGAAAAAAAGCACAAAGATACAATGAAATGAACCTGAGAAAAGGCGCTGGGGGAGCTATTAAATAAAAGCTCTCAGCTGCTCCTGTGGCCCTGCCGTTCAGGAAAGCTACCTGCGAATGTGCTGGCTTCCAGGCCCTAGTTCCCACCCTTTGCTTTTCTATACGCCGCCATCGCCAAGATTTCTCCGAAGGTGAATCACCCTTTGTCAGAAGCCTTGGAGCTCTGGCTCATAAAGCGTATCCCACAGCAACCTCCCTTGTTTCCTTTCCCAAGACTGTGGCTCTGCTATGCCCGAGGAATTTCCTGCAGATCCCCCTATCTGTGGGTCATCCTTCACCTTCTGACCCACACCGAGTTTCTTTTTTTTGTTGCAATGACCTTTCTCAAACTGTGTTTCTGGTTTGTCATTTTAAGGAAGAGATTTTTTTTTGTTTAAATTCCTGTTGTGGAAGCAAGAATACAGTGGTTCTGAGCCCTGGGGCTATGGCTCAACGTGGGAGTTGCAGAGGGATTTTTCTCAGTGACTCACACATTGAAGTGTCTGTCAGTGGGGCCTTGCCATATTTGGGCAAGGCCTGCATTAGGTCCTCCTCAACAGGGCCGGAGCGACAGCTGCCCTCCTCGAAGGGGGCAGCCAGGGCAGAGCTTGGCTGTGCCTCTTCTGTCCCCTCTCATTCCGCTGACCTGGCATTGTGCCACCAGGGTGCCTTGTCACCTCTGCCCCACATCGACCTGTCTGTGGTTGGGCCTGAATCTTGGTTACTCACTTTTTTAAAGTAGGAATACAGATTTATTAATTTAAATTTTTTTTGCGGGGGGGGACTTTTTGCTCTATTTATTTTATTTTATTGTGGTAAGAACTCTTAACATGAGATCTACCCTCTTAAATTTTTAAGTGCATCATATAGTAGTGTTAACTATGGGTACAATGTACAGCAGATCTCTAGAATTTACCCATCTTGCTTCATGGAAACTTTATGCCCATTGATCAGTAACTCCCCATGTCCCCCTGGCCCCAGCCCCTGGCAACACCATTCCACTCTTCGGTTCAATGAATTTACCTATTTTAGATACTTCATATAAATGGAATCAAGCAGTATTTGTTCTTCTGTGACTGGCTTATTTCACTTAGCATAGTGTCCTCAAGGTTCATCCATGTTACATATTGCAAAATTTCCTTCTTTTTAAGGCTGAAGAGTATTTCACTGTATTATATACCACAGCTTCTTTATCCATCCAGACATCAATGGACATTTCGGCTGTTTTACCCATTTATTACATCTACACATTTTAACAGTTTTCCTAACTATAAAAGACTTTATCTTTTAAATTCCATTCCCTCTTCTCAGTGTGGAAAACTGGGGGGCGATCATACTTCTTGCACTGTTTGCATTTAAAGGGGATGTTTGAAAGTCAGAATATAAGTATTTTCTATGTAGAAAAGGGCTATTGCGAACATGGGAATTTCTAACTGAGCAGAACAGAAGCGACACTTCCCAAAGCTCCCCTGTGAGTCATAGAGTCCTGGAGCGCTTCCCTGTTACCCAGTTCCTAACGACGCGTGGGTGGCAGGGCCAGGTCAAGGGGACACGAGTGAGGGTTACTCATAACGCAGCCCCATCAGACCGGGACATGCTGAGTTAACTGGCACCTGGCACCAGTAACAAATGGAAAGGGGCATCTTTATTATCTCCTTCCCTTTGCAACTGTCTAATTGTTTGCCCAGTGAGGAATAAACTAAATAATGATGGGAAGACTTAGGAAGCAGAAGACAGACAATTTATCTTCCAACCCAGGGCTAAAGGCTTGCGTTTGGCACTAGTTTACAGAGCAAATATCTGGGGCCCTTTTACCTTATGGTTTCCCCACAGTCGAGCCAGTCCATTGGGATCCACTATCCGGAATATTTTGGATTCTTTGTCCTCCCATCGGATGAAGTTTTCGTACCGGCTGTCAGAAAGCAACTGATAGACGTAATCCCAAAGCAGTCTACAGTCTACAGGGGAGAAGGGCAAGAAAACACTGTTGAAAAGGTTCCTTGTGCAGGCACTAAGAACAAGAATCAGCAAATAACTGAGTACCCGCTTTTGCCCACTTTGGATTGATTGTCTAACCTCCTCGTTTTACAGTGAGGAGACTACGGCCCAGAGAGACCTGTGAGATGGTGTTGGAGAAGGGCGACCTTTGACCTGTGGAGGCCTCAGAGACCATTCAGGCCAAGTGCCTCCCTCCACAGACAGGAACACGGTGACCTAGAGAGAGGAAGCGACTTGTCCACGGTCATGACCAATGCCTTGAACTTGAGCAGAGCCCACATGAGAGATGGAGAGCAAGCTCTAACTTCAAATGAGTTGGCTCTGAGAGTGAGCTGAAAGCAGGCCGGCAGGGTGAAAGGGCAGCAAGAGTCCCAGTGCTCCAACGAGAGCAGTGTGGTGTAAAGGGTGGGCTAAAAGATCGCCCTGGTGATGGAGGGTGACATTGAACTCACGAAATTGTGAAGATTGGGGTCGGCTAAAAGATGTCAGACAAAGAAGCGTGACGCGTGAAAAACTGTGGGAGAAGAAAAACTATGTGGTTTGGAGACTATGACTGTGGGAACTGTGGCTCGCATGGTTTCCAGAAAGAATACAGATATTCTCATTACGGCCTAATTTAGAAGTCTTTGAAATTGTTTTATTATAATGGAATCACTGTAGAAAGACACTCAGTGCAAAAAAACTGCTTTCTCCATTTGCAGAACTGATATTCAGTCATTTGGTCAGACACAGTATTTATTAAGTGAGTTAGTACAGGCCAGGTGCTGTGCTGGGCATTGCCTTTTGGCTGTGGGTTGGCAAATTCAAAGAGAAGGCCAGCACTGCACACCCTTCCCTGGTTCTAGTGCTTTCTGGGTTTGTGCCTAATGGTGCAGGGTTTGCCTTCTAGCAGAGCCTTCATGGGTGGGTGGGGACAGACGTGTACTTTCTAAGCCTAGTTGATGCTGGACTGGCCTCCAGCTGTGAATAAGGGGCCCAACTTCCAGATGTTCACTGTTGATTCTGGGAGCTTTGATAGGCACTAGCCAGAATGGCTAGTAATAAATGATTAATTACTGAAAGCCAAGTATGTGCTCGGCACTTCCCAGGCACTATTTCTAATCCTCACTTTCCATGCATTATTTCTAATCCTCGCTATATGTGCATTATTTCTAATCCTCATTTCCCACGCATCCTTTCTAATCCTCTAACACCCGAGGTCGCTGGGATTTGAGCTCCGGGCTCCTGCACTACAGTGTGCTGACTTCCTGATGCTGGGTGAGGCCTGGCACACCTGGGAGGGGAGGGTCCAATCCAGACTCAGAATATTTGAGAGCCAACACATTCACCACCCAGGGAACAAAACAAACCCTTCTCTGGAGTATGTTTATGAGGGGAATTGAGTCAGGTCACCTTGGGCAAGTTTCTTCCATGTCCCTGAGGTTGTTTCCTCATTTATGAAACAAGAATAACACTTACTTTACGAGATTATTGTATTAGCGATAATGCGAGTGAAGAGAAGTAATGAAAATAACATCAAGGGCATTTACTGGGTGCTGTTTGCACGCACTGTGCTGTGTGGGCTATAAGCATGGCTGCGTGTGACCCTTACGACACCTCAGGAGGCAGGTGCTCCTGCTAGTCCTACTTTATCGACAAGGAAGCTGTGGCTTAGAGGGTTTGGTAATTTACTCAGAGGGCACAGCTCCTGAGTGACATGTGTAGGATTCCAGGCTCTGCGTGACTCCGAAGCTCGTGCTGCGGCACACTTCCTGATGCGACTTCCATTCTCAGAGAAGCTGAGGTATATATGTGTAAAAGTTTAGGACTTTCCAGAGCAAGGTTTAACTCTGTGTGGTGCGTCCTTTGTGCAATCTGGCTTTCTCTCTGAACAGCAGAAGGAACTGGCATAAAATGTGGCATTTTTCAGGAGGCTTCATCTTTCAAGGAACCACCATTAAACTTAAAATGACCATAAATCTTTAGTGTCCCTTGTGAATCCTTTTTTCCCTGACTATCTGTGTCTAAAAGTTAATGTGATGTGTGATTTATTCTGTTTTGGAAAAGGACAAGTGGTCTTCTTAAAACAATGACCCTATGATCCTGGAGTTTGAACCCCATTCTAACCGAAGCTACCAGCCACTTCTATTCCCTCCTACCTGCCCCTGTGTGTAAGAGGGTGGGCTGAGGAGGGGGAGGAAAAAGAGGACCAATCCTAGCATTATAAGTGCCTTGAGAAGTCAGCGTGACACTACTGCAGCCTGAGAATAATCTAGCTCATTTTTAAGGCACTTGTAAGAGGGTGACCCTAGTTTCTAGGCAAAGCAGTGAAGTAGGCAAAGAGTCGTAACCCTTCTTGCTACCTCCTGGTCTTGCAACATTTTTACTACAAATGGAAAATAGAGAATAGAGCTCTGGCGAAATTGTCCAATCTTCAAATGGCAGATACATTTTAATTTCCCACAATCTCTTCCAACTGGAAAACATCTGATAAAACCAAATATTATCATATAAAATGCCAGTAAATTTAGGAGGAACAAAGGGGTTTGTGTCTAACTCCTCTGCTGTTTCCCTACAGAGTTACAATCACTTTTACCACAAAGAGGCTTGATGATACCTTTGGAGTCATCTGGATTGGGAATATGATTCTCTAGAGTGTTCTTTTTAATAAAATTTAATAATAAAAAAACTATCTGGTTGTCTTTCGTACTTTGATAGAAAGAAATTTTGCACATATGATAGTGAGCAACATATAGGCACTTCTCTCACCTCTAGCCCACCTGGAGCTAAAACTTAAGGGGATGGTTCTCCTCTCATCCCCATCCCCAACTGCACAAGGAATTTCACTTTCATTGTTTTTGTTGCTTCTCTTTTACTGCCTTGGTACATTCTATTTCTCATAAATAGTGAAATGAGAACTAGACCATTTCTCCAAGTAAGGGCTTAACCAGCACTGGAGTACCATGTTGGTTTTTCAGAGACATCAAAGTGGGACTTTCATGTAAACCATTTACTAAAAAAGATCTAGAATTTTATCTGCTCTTTGGTTGGTAAATGAAGGGCAGAGCTTACTAGAGAACAGACTTTACCCATAAGTTTCAAGAACACTTGTATCTTGCAAACTTTTCCCTTTCATAAATGTGAAAATAATCCCAAACAAGCTGCCAGTTGATCATTTTAAATGACATTTAATCCAGCAAAGCCAACTTTAGCTGAGTAATAAAGATATGTTGACATTCAAGACATACTGAATTACTCAGTCACTAATGAAGGTAGCAACAGGAATTCTGTGGCATAAAGTCGTTGTTTCAAGCTCAGAGTGTAAGTGACTTTTATAACACTATTGATTGTTTTGTTTCTTTAGTTAAAAATATGCCAGATGATAAAAATAAATGCCTGACCACACAACAAGTTTTTTTTTCTTTTTTTTACAATTGAAGCTCAAGTCATAGGAGTTATTTTTGTTTTTAAGATTTCAATTGAATAAAAGGCACATCCTTTTTAGTTCCCTGGATCCTCTGGAGGCCGTGACCACAGCCCCCCTGCAATTTTTCAGCTCTGTCGAAATCCATGTCTGCACAGATACACTATTCTTTGATCACCAATGAAAATGCTTAATACTACATAAATAAAACTCACCAAACTCTATAAACAAAAGTTCATCTCATTACAAAACACTTGAACATGCATGTGAAGGACAATTTATGTCACAAAGTATTCATTAATTTTAAATGCGTTTCTCTTAAAGAGCCTTCTATAGCAAGGCATGTGGGTATTTTAAACAAATGTCCATGATTTGGATTGTCTCTCCCATGAGATGAAGTTTATGAAAGGGTTTAGCTGAAGTGATATGCCGCTTTCACCTGCAGAAAGAGAGTGTCCTCTCTCTCACTGAGTGAGGGACTCTGGGTATCTGTGGCTAAAAGGCATTGTAAAAAATCCCTCCTTGGGCCGGCCCCGTGGCTTAGCGGTTAAGTGCGTGCTCCGCTACTGGCAGCCCGGGTTCGGATCCCGGGCGTGCACCGACGGACCGCTTCTCCGGTCATGCTGAGGCTGCGTCCCACATACAGCAACTAGAAGGATGCGCAACTATGACATACAACTATCTACTGGAGCTTTGGGGGAAAAAAAAAAGGAGGAGGATTGGCAATAGATGTTAGCTCAGAGCTCGTCTTCCTCAGCAAAAAGAGGGGGATTAGCATGGATGTTAGCTCAGGGCTGATCTTCCTCACACACACACACAAAAAATCCCTCCTGTGGTTAGGGAGAAATATTTTCACTCCCATGTCTGTCTCTTACCAGAGACTCACTGTATAAGCTCACTGAGCAGAGATTGTAAAAAGAGGGGCAATTCACACATAACCAACATGATTCCTAATGAAAAAAACCATGCTAGACAAGACTGACGTTTAAAAAATCTGAGTGGGCAAGTCATGTTATTGACAAAGGGAACGTTTAATGATGGTGGTTAATTTAAATTTCAGGAAAGCTTCTAAGAAAGTGATGTTATGTTGTTTTAACTGCCCCAATGGAATTTTAAATGAAGGTCTGCAAACCAGAGTTCTGTGGATATAATCACCAAGAAGAGGCTGAGTGTCTCTGTTTCATTTCTTTAAATTTATTACGAAAAATTAACAAATTTATTTCAGGTTCAGCAACAGAACAGGTAAGTAATATGCAAAATAAAAAGTTGCTACTCTGCTTTATAGCAGTGGTTCTAAACTAGGGGCAATTTTGCTCCCTGGGGGGTAATGGCCATGTTTGGAGACAATTTTGGTTGTCACACTGGGTGTGGATGGGTGGAGCATGCTCCTGACATCTAGTGAGTACAGGCCAGGGATGCTGCTAAATATTTTAGAATGCACAAGACAACTCCTTACAACAAAGACTTATTTGGCCCAAATATCAAGAGCGCCAAACTTGAGAAACCCTGCTTATAGAAACAACGGGGTTTACAACACGCAGGGGAGCATCTGCAGCT